CCCATTGAGCATCTCTGGAGAGACCTGAAAATGGCTGTCCACCAACGTTTACCATCCAACCTGACAGAACTGGAGAGGATCTGCAAGGAGGAATGGCAGAGGATCCCCAAATGCAGGTGTGAAAAACTTGTTGCATCATTCCCAAAAAGACTCATGGCTGTATTAGCTCAAAAGGGTGCTTCTACTAAATACTGAGCAAAGGGTCTGAATACTTATGACCATGTGATATTTCAGTTTTTCTTTTTTAATAAATCTGCAAAAATGTCATTCTGTGTTTTTCTGTCAATATGGGGTGCTGTGTGTACATTAATGAGGAAAAAAAATGAACTTAAATGATTTTAGTATGTGGCTACAATATAACAAAGAGTGAAAATTTTAAGGGGGTCTGAATACTTTCCGTACCCACTGTATGTCGCTATATGCCTTAAATAATAATGTGATCAGTGATGTGTTAGCACCCAGACAAGCTGTACAGCTTGTCCTCTCATTCCTTCCAGGAATGGGCCTGGGAATGTAATTAAGACAGAGCTCCACTAGGCAGAGACTGTTAATGCCAAATGTAGCATGGCCTGATACAATAAACAGAGGGGCCCCATGAGCTCACGCCATTGTATATTTGTACAATGAGCCAAGTGAATACAGCTTAGTAGCTGTGGATCTTTTTATTGATATTCAGTCACTAGAAAACAACTCATGACATGACTCGGTGGATAACCCTTAGGGAATGTAATGTGAAAGGCAAGCAAAACCTCTAGAGAGACACCAGTGCCAAAATGTTGATTAGTTTACTTTAATCTAGTTGTCTATCAACACAGGGCTCTGCACTGAGCTGCTGCATTATCCTGTCTGAAGAATTTATTAGGGAAAATGGGAAGAAGTCAAGAATAAGCAAAACAGAGTTTACAGTCATCACTGTAAACCACTTTTCAGGATATCCTGCTATTAGTTCATTGTAAATGTTAGGTGACTTGTTCATGTAACAACAAACCTTATCAAATTCTAGAAATATGAGTGACAATTTGCTGATGTAGTATTTGTCTGCATGTGTGTGCTTGTGTGGTGGTGGAGTCTTTATTCACTGGAAAGAACTGGTGAACTCCTGCCTCCTGCACTGTCATTCAGCCCTTCCCGTCAGAGAGTTCGTTGGTATTCAAAGCCACAGTGGAAAGATCCGGTGAGGGAGGAGTACAGGGAGACCTGGTCCGGCACAATGCCACATGGATATTCCCAGCCAAAATCCAAATTCTGAAAAACAAAACCCACCGTTTATATAAATTACTCCTGATTATTGTACAAAGCATGTTACAGTGTTTTATATGTTTTCCTTACCACCCAGGCTGCCTGCAGTTCATTTGCTACTATAGCAATGACAAAATTGGGTTGTTTTCAGTCAGGCTCAAACTTTATTTTAACTGTGGTTAATACAGTTAAACCTTTCTAAAAAATGCTCCACACCAGAGTATAATTACCCGTGGGACTGTATATCTGTATGTCTGGAACTGTAAACAACTGAGTGTATAAATAGACCTCTGTTTCCTCCATTAGAGCTGTTTGATGAGTGGATGTCCTGAACCATGGCCTGAGCTGCAGCATCAGACAAAGCTGCAGGGGCTGGTCCAAATGTTAGGCAGCATCATTTTAGAGCCATGTCTGCTCATGTGAATCGATTCTAAACTAATAAAATGAAGAATATATTTATTTATCTATGCATCTTAAGGCCTTTCCCTGTCTCACACTGCAGTGATTTCATCACTCCCTGGGCAGATTTTGCTGCACAATGCTAAGCTGATAATGTTACAAAAGAGCACAGGTTTCTGTACACAGAAGATAAGAAATGTTTCTGTGAACTGCTGAGGCTCATAAACCTGTGCTTCACCTTCACAGCACAGGGAAGCCTTCATTTCAGGCTGCCTATTGTGTAGAGGTAATAAGAGCCTTCTATTATGCACCATGGACTGTTATATGAGTAACATTTTTGCATGAAAATATATAGACCCCTGAGGTTCACGACCAAATGAGAGCCATGATGCAATCTATATGTTCTGTACAGCAGCTGTTACAGCAGGATTCATGTTTCCTCTACACAGTGTTAGCTGATATGACACTGGGCATGAAACTCCCCCAACTGAGTCAGAGATACAAACAATGACACACAAGTGCTATAAACAATGGCACGTACTTAATATAAAAATCTGCAAAGAAATATTACTGAGACAACATCATATCAACTACAGGAGAGCAGTGAAGAAGCGGGGGCAGGTTAAGAGTAGAGCTTTGTAAAATATGGATTTGGCCATTTGAACTACTTGACTTTTTGAATTATAGATCAATTTGGATTGATTCAGCGCTGTTGTTGCTAATAATTGCATAAATAAAGCATTATCAATATGTAAATTTCATTCATACTGGTGACTGGAGGTTTCTGGGTATTGTAGTATTTAGTAGTAGTAACCCTAATGTACATAGCAAACAGGAAAAACAAATTTAAAAGAAAATTTAAAAAGAGAGAAACTCAAATGTGTAGTGTTAAATTCTTATATTCTTAATCAGAAACTGGAAGATACTAGGCTACTGATATTATTACTACTACTACTACCACTACTACTAACAACAACAACAACAACAATAACAACAATAAAAGTACCCTGTAATGCTGCTTAACTATTGAATGAATCGTCTGCTGTCTGTGGTGAGTGATCTCAGCAGGACAGACACGCACAGAACCAGTTTGGTGACGCCACAGCCGGACGCTCCTTTTTTGGCCAAGCCCCGAGCGCTTAGATTACGATAAATGGAGGTTTGTAGTCAGACTGAAGCGCGACGAAAGGTTCAAGTCCTGCGCGTTCGTGAAACGAGACGAAAGGTTCAAGTCCTGCGCGTCTTTGTGCGCTAACAGTACGAGAGAGAAGGGACTGAGTCTGTTACATTTTACGCACACTTTTCATTTGGATTACTTTAGCTGAGAAGGACCCTAAACCGAGATGGAAATAGAAAGACTCCCAGCAGTTCTCTTTATTGTCTTCTTTCTCTCCACACACTGGGCCTCAGGTGAGTCCAAACGACATCCTAGTCGTCCCAGTAACTTCATGTCCACGCACCCCCAGTAAGGAATGCTGCATTAGTGTCAAACCTGTTCTCAGATTACGTTAAGCACCAAATATTAAGTGTCAGCATTATCAGATTATTGTAGAGTGCGTTAAACGTACAAAACAGACCAAAATCATAAATAGGCGATCCTTCATATGGAATTGTTTTTGTAATAACAAAGAAAATGAGAAAATATAGTCACACGTTGCTGAGTTTACAGTCACTTACTTTTTATATGTAAATCTATTTGCCACACATCTATACTCCGTTTCTGTTACATTTCACTTTATAAACATTTTATTTGGTTTGCTGAGAAATTTGCATTGGTGACAAGTGGTGCAATCAGCAGGTCACTTCACCTATGTGCAGGATACATTAAAACACAAATGGGCACACAGGCTTTTAAGCCCCTGTCTTTAAGAAGAGGCTGCCCACACTGTATGTCTTTACTGAAAAATGTAAATTATGTCTGTCCATACCTGTTTTGACACCTTGAAAAGTCTTGTCTGATCCCTGCTCACTGTGGGACTGTAAATCTGTTATCCACTCTGCTTATCAGTGTCCTGCTCCTTTATGTTCAATCCCATGTGAGGAACTTTGAAGTGATAACATAACATAATGTCCCCTGCTCTGTTGTTCCACTCTGCCAACAGGAAGCAATGACTGATCCTACAACATCTGCTAAGTGGGGGAAAAAAAACAATGTGATTCTCAGAAACTAGGTTTAGCCTGATCCTGTGATCATTTTACTCATACAGTACAAAAGAGGTGCAAGTGTTTGTGGTTGTGCCTGAACAGTCAGCCCTAAAAGGGGTCTTTTATTAACACTGATAAGAAGCATTTCACTCAGCACTTTAAGATCCTCACCTCATGAGTCTGCTGACTGTGACTCTGATGTTGTACATCAAGCTTTTTTCTCTCTGAGTAAAACCTTATATAATAGTTTAGTTAGTTAAAAAGTGTATTTTATACCATATTGATGCGTCATTCTAACTTGATATGGTTTTAACTATTTGAGCTGCAACAGCCCATTCCAGATTTCGAAAGCTGTGAGTATTTAGTAGTGGTATCTTTTATTTTGCAGGCTCCTATCCCCGAGCACAGAATGTCACTTGGAAATCCACCAACTTTAAAACCATCTTGACCTGGGAACCTAAACCGTCAGCCAATTACTCGTACACTGTGGAGTTCTCGGCGTAAGTATTCGATCCAAATGTTTTAGCCTGTTTGAGCAATGCCGTTTAGTCTCAGGCTTACTCATGCAGTTATTTCAACCTCACATTCAGACTGTGTTGAGTGAGGCACACTCCCCTTTGACCAGCTTGTTGTCTAACATTTAAGGAATCATTAGTGGCAACGGGAAATGATAAGAATCTATTATTGACCCGGTAAAAGCCGGAATGTTTAATTTAGGCCAGAAAACTTAAAAACAAAACGATAACTAACAGACCTCAGTGATGAAAAAAGAGAAAAAGGAAACATTAGTTTAAACATCCAATGAAAAATGCCAACAACTCTCATTGCACCACAATATATTCAAATCTCTACATTTTCTTATGCAAATGTGTATCTTGTTTTGAGTAACTGATGCATTCTGACAGGCTTTCTATTGTCTTATTACGCTGTTGTTAGCATTAAATTTAATGCTCGTCTGGTGTATAAGACTGTCCATGTTAAACAGAAGCATGTCAAACTTTTGCAGGGTTGGCAGGGACAGCGAGAGGACCCCTCACTGCATTCGCTCTTCCACAACAGTGTGCGATCTGTCCAGCTCTCTGACTGACCTGAATGCCTACTACACAGCTGATGTCCTGTCTGAACCCCCGATGGGGGCCAGCTCTGACCTCACTGAGTTCCCCTACACCAGCTCGCCACGGTTTTGCCCCTACAAAGAAAGTAGGTTCTTCTGTTGTTTGTCTTTTTTTTTTAAATCAACATAATGTGCTGGAAATAACCACAAGTTAAACTGGGTCAGAGGTCTTCATAGCTCAGCTCTGTCTAACATATTGAGCTTGAAACAAACACTTTGAAACACAGTCTCACTTGGTCTAAACAAATCGAGAATGCAACTCCGTTTATTTGGCTTTACTAGATAACTGTGGTGCAACAGCAAAATCAATAAGTCAAATGTATTTATAGAGCACATTTATAAATAGCAGACATTAAAATGACAGTCACAAATTACAATGAAAGACAAAATTTTAAAAACAATGGAAATAAAATAACAACTGTGTAAATGTATCTTTAGCCAGGATTTATATGTGTGTTTCCAAGCTGAGAGAGGAGCTGTGCACAAGTTACACACGGCAGTGCAATAACATTATTATGTAAATCTTCGGTGACTATGTTAGTCCTCTTAACAAAATGCTCTCCTCTGTTGCACAAAAATTCCAGGTTTACACAGTGAAACCATTACGAACAAAGCAGCTGTGCTCCAGCCCTCTCAAAGCTGTTACTAGTTTCATTTTCAGCAATTTTCACCAGAAATATTAAGTGGAACATTACAGTTTTTTTTAAATGTAGTTATACTGCTTAAATGCAGTAATATTTTGATTTTGGCCTGACTCCCCTATGCTACACTGGTCTATTGATAGTGTTAACCCTGTGCTTCCCTAAGACATGATTACCAACTATCTCAGTTGTGCTTGCTTTCATTATGATCTTCAAAACAGGGATTTAAAATTGGGTTACTAATAATAATAATAATAATCATTAGTAATTAGTTGCTTGTGTTCTTGATCTGTCTAACTTTGTAGTGGTGATGTCATCATTTACACAGAGTACAATAGTAATTCACACTGATGATTCGCATGTTTACAACTGTGAAAATCAGACCCAAGTTGGAATAAAACAAAATGATATTTTAAGTTAATCAAAATGTACATAGAGAGTTATTTAGCTTTTTGGTCTCAAACTGATCTCTGAACAGTCTAGGTTATGTTCAGAGCCACAGTAGATAAACTCTGTCCCCATGTCTCCCCTCCACAGCTAATATAAGCAGCCCTGACTTCAAGCTGGTGGTGAGCAAGGACAAAAAGAAGACCACCCTGCATGTGACTGACCCACTCACCGCACTGTTTAAAGATGGCCGTCAACTAAACATTAGGGATATCTTCTCTGACCAACTGCAGTATAAAGTCACCTATCGGAAAAATAAGAGCACAGGCAAGGTGAGTAACAGCAGACGTCACATTATTGGGTTCAAACACTCATGAACAGGAAGGTACAAACTGTGTTTTCCTTTGTGTTGTCTGCAGAAAGAGCACAAATCTAAGATCAGTGTGATAGAGCTGACTGATCTGGATCAAGGGGTGAGCTACTGCTTCAGCGTACAGGCTTTCATCCCCAGCCGCAGCATCGACAAGCAGCTGGGAGAGATGAGCCAGACCCAGTGCTCCAACGACGACAACCAGTCCATCTTTGAAAGTGAGTCGTGGACAGGGAAGGGATTCAGTTATAGTCATACATCAAGTTGCTGAACCACCAGCTGTCCGCCTGGTACCTCTGTGGCGAAACACACTCGCAGCGGTCGATAAGTGCAGAAGACAGACTGTTTTGATGTTCACAAGCTGTAGCTACAACCTGAAACTTCATTTGTCCTCAAAGATCTGTTTTGCCAAAGATACTGATGACATCAAATGTTAAGTAAATATTTATCTACTGTACACATTAACATCCTAGTTGCTTTGGCACACTTTATATTCCAGCAGCTACTTCTTTCAATTGCTTACTCAAGAGGGGAGGATTCTACCTGAATGACTTGTACACTGAGGTTTGCAAACATTTGAACACTAGAAATTTCACTCACAGGCTGTAGTTTGAGTTACTGAAGGAGACAGGAGCCAGATCAACACAATTCACACGGATGACCTGTTTGGACATAGAAATGATTGACTATTGCCAAAAGGTTGCCCGTTTTTGCATCGCATGTTATGACATGAGCCCTGCGATGGATTGGCGACCTGTCCAGGGTGTACCCCGCCTTCGCCCGATTGCCGGCCGGGATTGGCTCCGGCCCCACCCGTGACCCCATTCAGGGACTAAGCGGTTGACAATGAATGAATGAATGAATGAATGAATGTTATGACATGTTGAAGCAGCACATCAGTGCATGCTATTTAGTTTGCTGGAAAACAGGGCGATGAAGTGCAACTCACAGACACGTTTTGTGTTCTTTATGTCAAGCTATTGCTCTGCCAAGTTCTCATTTTCTCGGTTTTAGCATTGCAGTTCAGGATATCATACAGCACTACACATGTGCTGGAAAGGATTGGGTGTTGCCAAACCTGTCATCACATGTCAACTTCTGTATTCAAAACTAAATGGCAGCATGGATTTGTATCTGCTGCACACTGTGTTCATGTGCAATCCAACAGCACCCTCTTGAGGAAACAAGACAGACTAACTCATGTTGGTTTTGGTGGTAAACCCCAATTAAAAAACTCTTACAATTAAAAAATAAACAAAAATCTGAATGGTGGTAATTCTGTGCGAAGGATTTGTTTTATAGGATGTAATTACTAATAATATGCCATCTTGCCTTGTTTCATCTTCCAGTGTATTCAGTGGGTGTGATTGTTGGAGCCATCTTCTTCATCCTGCTGCTTATTGGCATCATCATCGCCATTGCAGTGTTCTGCTACAGGCGCAGGACGGCGGCTCAGGGAAGTGGGAAAGAAGTGTCACGCCAGGTCATTTAGTGAGTTCTCCATCACACACGCGCACGTCAGTGACAGAACATGTGGTACACCTGACCTGGACCGAGGCCTGTAAAGAGAGGAGGACATTGCTACAGCAGTCCATCGATCCACTGTCAAACACTGGAATCAATTCTTCTTTTAGTTTCTGTGAAACTGCCCCTAAAATTTTAGATGTTTCTTTGTCATTTCATTTCTTTGCTGCAGGAAACACTGACCTAACACTCTTAGTCACGCTTTAGTTGCCCTGCTGAAGCTGCAGTCGTCCTGTCTTGAATTTTATACTTGGTGTGTGGTACCTCTACTGTAGATAAACACTACCAACTGATCTTATTTATTTCATTTTGCAGTTAACTTTCTAACTTGAAATGAATATCATGGGGATGTGTGGGACTGGTGAAAGCAACACTTAATGGTAAAATCATATTTTTGTATGAGTCTTAATTTATTGTTAAATTGAAAATAACATTTGTATATGATGCTGTTTTATACTTGATTGCTGCAGATGATTTTGTTATATAGTGAAAAACCAATAAATATTTTACAGAACACCACCTCTTGTATATAAATATTAAAAAAAAAGTGTCCAGATTCCTGTGTCCACAGGACAGTACCCTCTAATGGTCCAGTGCAGTCCATTAGGGAAGCCCTGTCTTGGCTGCAACACCTCAGTCTATCATCGATTCACTTCTTAACACACATGCACACACACACACACACACACACACACACACACACACACAGTGGAAAGGAAATAAGAGTCCTTAATGAAAATTCATTACTAGTACAGTTTATTTTTTCAGTGAGATCTAACAGCACTGTTATGCGTTTAAATCTATGGGTTAGGCTCCTTTACAGTTTCAAAAATTTTAGTGACTGAATGAAGAGTAGCAATAATATGAGAAAAGCCATCATTGCACTTTAGACCCAGTCCCCAGCTTCACAGAGCTCATGTGAAAATAGTTATCTACACAATTATCAAAAAAGTAGAGACAGAAAAGGTGAATAATGAGATAAGTAGAAAAAGCATCCTAGAAGATTTCACTGCGTTCTGTTTCCTTACTGACATGCCTTTGTTAAATGAAATGCAGCCCCACCTGGCAACAGCAAAATGGAATTATTACAACACTCCTAGAACTTTAACAAAAAAAACATTGGAGAACAAATTAATCAGCTGTTTGGACTGAAAATAAACTCTGACATGATTTCATATTAAAGATAATCATTAGTAAGTCCAGGATTTTGTAGCTTAAAACCCGGTAGGGTCACTGCAAAATTCATCCACATGTTCTTACAATAACAGGAGCTCATTCAAGGGAGCTTTTGGAATTGACTGCTGCCTTTTGACTGACTGCAGAACAGTCTGTATCCCTACTGTGCAGCACAACAAACCTGGTAACAATTAGTATGATCCTACTTTGTGTAACCATTAAAGGTGGGCTCTCTTTACTGCAGAGAACCCACTGAAATTAGCTATGTTAATGTTTTAATGATGGTGTGATTAGGCCTCAAGTCCACACGATACTGGAAGCATGACCTGGCCGTCATACTACATATATCAGGGTCCTTCATGCCAATCACATATCAACTGTGTAGGCATTCTGGCATTCACAACGTGCATTACCCTGTCCCTGTCATAATATACAGGCTCACCGCTACTGGGAGCACTGAGAGCAACGCTGACCAGTGACACTCCTTTCATTAGCATAAATGAAACCCTGCTCCATCTTTCATGTTGTTTTAGTCAAAAAAAAATTTTCTTATGAGAAATCTCTTGGGAGACTGTGTTCTCTTTGGCAAACTCAGATTTTCAAACTCTGAATGTCTGAGCGACTGATATGCTCCAGTTTCCTTAGGACGTAGATCCTGTATGTAGGATGGTTGATAGGGCTTCCCAAGTCAGAAACAAAACAAACGTCCCTCCACCGCCTTACTCGATTCAAAATGTTCATATCAAACAGCTGAGTCTACAGTTGCCTCTGGAAAGGTTTGTTCAGCTCCAGTTAGTACTGTCTGTCCTGTAGTTTTTTTTGTAGTATCACCTTGCGTACAAACTCCAGCATTATCCTGTGCAGGACAGGAGGACACGATACCTGTGGTACCTTGCTTATCTCTACCGGCTGTTACTGCTGGGAGGTATGACTGCATGCACAGATGACTTCCACCATCACTCAGTCATCTCTCACTGGTGTAAAAACACAACCTAGATGTTGGCGATCTAAATTACAGGTGTTTTATACTCACACTGGACTAATTAATGATTAGACAGGAATAAAATGACACTTTAAATAACAAAAAGAAGACAAAGCATACAGAATTACAAATGATTAAAAATATTATTTTCTAGTTTTAGCTACAACCTCTGTGTGATGTGCAAAGAATTAACAAATTGGCTTTATCAGAGCAGTCACTGGGGAGGTCGGTTATGAGCCAAACTCCTCAGTTTCCTCTGTGATGGGCTTGAATTCGTAGTTTCCTCTCCCGTCCATGTGAAGATAAAACTAAGACAGAGATGAAACAATAAAAAAAAGAATGTCACTAAGAGAGAAAGGAGGAGATAAAGATAGCTATGTTCTAAAGAGTCTGAAAGAGACTGAAATCCACTGATTATACCACACAAATGTCTCCATACAGTGTGTCTAGTGTAGACACGTTAAAAGAGTTTCAAAGTAATACAAAAATAATACAAAAGAAAAATATGCTGAAGAATTAAAAAAGTGTAGCCAGCCAACTACTTTGTTTTAAGCATACCAAGAACTGTATTCTGGCAGAATCCAAACCAAGAGTACACAGTTACACATACTCTGTTCTTCAGGCTCTGTGCTTCACATTGACTTTGAAAGAGAAACATGATGCATTCGTCTGAATCTGGACATACACAATGCTCCGCCTTCATCCTGCTGCTTCTGTCAGCAGTGAAATCAACAATAAATGCCAGTGCGCCAGTTCCGCTGGCAGCCATTGCTGTACATGCCCAAGGGTTAACAGAAGCAACACCATGTTTGACAGGTGGTGCTTTGGGCCAGCAGCTGTTCCTTCTGCTTTCCACACTTTCATCTTCCTATTATTTTTTACAGAGGTGAACCTTTGTTTCCTTGGTCCAGAGAACTTGGATCCAGAATTATAGCGGCTTCTTTTTGTAGGTTTTTGTGAACTACACCCTGCTTCTCTGTTTTTGAAGCTCACTAATCGTTTGCATCTTGTGTTTAACCATCAGATGTTTTGGTCATGAGTCCTCTCTTGATCACTGATAAGGAAATATGTAAACCTACCTGCTTGACCTGCTGTGCCAAACAAAAAAAAACAGGCTAAACCACACTTTAAACTAAAATCTAAATCTTCTTCTTCTTCTTTCGGCTGTTCCCGTTAGGGGTCGCCACAGAGAATCATCTGTTTCCACCTAACTCTATCCTCGGCATCCTCTACTCTCACCCCAGTTAACTTCATGTCCTCTTTTAGCACATCCATATATCTCCTCTTTGGCCTTCCTCGTGACCTCTTGCCTGGCAGCTCCATCTCCAACATCCTTCTACCAATATAACCACTATCCCTCCTCCGCACATGTCCAAACCATCTCAGTCTGGCCTCTCTGACCTTGTCCCCTAAACCAACCTGAGCTGTCCCTCTGATGTGCTCATTCCTAATCCTGTCCATCCTGGTCCCTCCTAAAGAGAACCTCAACATCCTCATCTCTGCTACCTTCATCTCTGACTCGTCTTTTCCTCACTGCTACAGTCTCTAACCCATACAGCATAGCTGGTCTCACTACTGTCTTGTACACCTTTCCTTTGATTCTTGCTGACACTCTTCTGTCACACAACACTCCTGACACCTTTCTCCACCCACTCCAACCTGCCTGCACTCACCTCTTCACCTCTTTCCTACACTCCCCATCACACTGGACTGTTGACCCCAAATACTTAAACCCTTTTTGACCTCCGCCCTCTGTAACCTCACTGTTCCACTTCCCTCCCTCTTGTTCATACACATGTAAAACTAAAATCTAAATCTTCTGTGATAAAAACCACAGAGTGCAGTGAAAGAAGTAAATCTGCTGATTTCTTTTGAATTCATAAAAACACGGGTGGCATTCAGTCCTCACCTTGTGGTGCTTCCACAGAGACTTTCTGTGGGACACTGTGAACAAGGTGATGCCCACCTGTGGATCAAGGAAAACACAGCTAGTACTAGTAGAAAACTTAAAAAAAACAAACAAACAAAAAGCACAGTTTCTCAGAGAGGTACTTGTGTATATGATGTTTTGAGTCGTACCGTCTTGCAGTGGCTGTAGATATAATCCTCTACATCCACACTCACTGCACTGGTGCACTCATCCAGAATGGCAAACTGGGGCTTGTGGTAGAACAGCCTGGCCATCTACACAGGTAAACAAACAGTCACACACTCATCACTGCACAATTTAAAGTGAGAAAGTCCTATGTATAAAACCTAACCATAGAGTCCAGTCACATAATACAGAAATGTTTTTAGATGTTCTGCTCTGAGGAGCTCTTTGTTTTAGATGAAGGAGGTGAGTCCAATATACACACGATATACACTGTAGTACAATACTTATCTGCTACGGGTTTCCAGAACAGTGAGTCAGTGGTTCACTCTGTTACCCCATAGTGAGACCGTCCTGGGGTTAAATCAGCTGCCCACATTCAGTTTTACTCTTTCTGTGCAGAATGTGGATGTTCTATGCATGTTATGAGGTTTAAGTGATTCAGCACCCTACTTCAGATGCAGGTGTGATAATGAGCTGGGCTTGTCCCACTCCCACCCCTGATTTCAGATCAGTCGTGTCTGTTGACAGGGGGGCAATGACTACTTACAGCCATCCTCTGCTTCTCTCCACCACTGAGGATGTCCATCCAGTCCTGGACTATGTCCCAGCCGCCCTCTCTGTCCAGGATGTGCCCCAACTGAACATTGTCCAGGTACTCCTTCAACACCTGGAGGTACACAGTCAAGATAATAATGGATGTTAGTATAAACATGTAGACAAAGCAGGTGAAAGTGTGACATGTGTGGGAATGTGTTGTCCCACCTCATCAGAGATGCCTTTTTTTCTCTGTTCTTCAATGGTGTCAGGGTAAATAACTTGGTCCCTCAGAGAACCCAGAGTCATATAGGGCCTCTGGACAAAGACAGCACAGTCAGTCAAACTGACATTTGCATTAACTCTGATCACATCCACATAGTTACAATCATTCACACCTGGAAGCCCAGTGCAACAACCGGCTGACCTGCTGGCCACAGAGGTTAGGGGCCTTTACTCAAGGGCCCCATAGTGGTGTTGATGAGGGAGGAGCAAGCACTGCTTTTTTTAATTGAAATATAAATTTGGTATATTCTGTAAAGTGCCACCTAAATATTACAATATATTTATTTTAGGGCTGTCAAAATTAATGCAATAAAATTAATGGCACAATTTTTTTTGATGTGCGATTAACACATGCACATTCTGTGATTATGAGCCTCACCCTGCCCCATAGTCTGGGAAATCAGGAAGTTATGCAGCAGCAGAAATGAGCAGAAACGGAGGAAGTTTGGTGGAACAGAGGATCTTTACCTGTGGAACATAGAAGAGCTTCCCTCTCTCAGGTTTTGTCAGCTGTCCTCCAAACAGAGGCCACAGCTATTAAAAAAAAAAAAAATTATAACTGCTTTATACACCAAAGAAAAAAACAACGCATATAACATACTGTGTGTACAATACTTTACTGAGCACACTGATTAACTTCCTAATTAACCACCACTAAGTGGAAGGACAATCCTGCCCAGGTTTCTCACCTCTCCAAGCACCCTGAACAGAGAGCTCTTTCCACAGCCGTTTGGTCCACACACCAGAACATTGGTACCAGACCTTACCTTCAAAGAACACAGAGAGATGTGGGACTACTCATTCAGACAAAATAGCATGTCTGTACAATTAAAAATAAAAAACTAAACCAAAGCTGAACTCATGTTCAAACAAATCTATGCCTTCCAATGATCAATTTAGTCAATCACAGCCAAATATATGGAAATGAAAGATGTGAGAGCTTTACCTCAAATGTGAGGTCTCTGATAAGGATGTCTCCATTGGGTGTCACTAGTGGGGTATGGTCAAATCTGCAAAAGAAAAAAAGTCACTTTAAACTCATGAAAAGAAGAGTAAACCAAAACTGTGCAGGTACATTCCAGTGCCAAAAATGAGACCTACTTGATGATGTAATCTCTATTGATTATTTGGCCACTTCCAGGTACCAGCATGAGATTCTCTGCAGGGTCTGAGTCTAAGGTGAATGAAACAAAAAATCAGTTAAGATGTTTGGCTGCACAGCTCCAGTTATCTCAGGTGAAAACTAATTTCTGTGACATGTATTTCTTTGCAGTTAGGAGTCATGTATACCCTTCTCCTGCTGGGAGACCATGGTGCGTTCGTATTTGCCAGTGTTCAGCTCCTTTAGGACTTTCATCAGTTCGGTGATACGAGCTGTGAATCTGTTACAAAATATAATAACAGTCAGAAGCATTCTTTGACTCAAATATCTGAATGTAAGAGCTGTAACAATTAACAGAGCTCCATCAATTTAACTGGAATCTAAAGAGTGACCCATTATAGGGATGACAGAAGGACAAAAGTCCAGATCACTTTGAAAGAAGTGATCTGCAAACACCTTTCAAAAAGCCTCAAAGATAAAGTTTGTCTATCCCATGGACCTAGCTGCAGGTCATAAAATACCACCAGGATGTTCAGAATCTGGACCAGCAACTACTATGACACATCATTTGGTTTAGATCACGTTTTACTTTCTAAAAATTATTTTAGTTTCACCTTTATTTTACTATTGTACAACCCTCACCCTGAGAGGCGGGTCATCTCTCGGCCGGCCAGCACAATCCTGCCCAGGGCCTGGGACATTCTCAGGAGCATCCTTCCACTCTGGTAGTAGTCCTACAGGTCACACAGGTCCAGTTACCTTAGTAACACCTCATAGCCTCACAGCATTGCTGCAAAGGCATCATTAAAACAAGCTGTGCTCTTGTATGTGTGTTATTCTACCATTATTATTCTTCATTTTAAGTTGACACAGCTGTCAGTACCATATTCCTGTATGCTGATGCAGTTCTATGCGCTGAATGGTTTGATATGGCTTTAACATACATTTTATGTTAAAAATCAACTTGCTGGTACTTAAAACTTAACACTGTATTAGTATCATTTAAAACCCTAAAGGGGCATAATCTGCACTGTATTTCTGTTTTTAAGTTTCAAGTTTGAATTTACCGCCAATAACCGTTGACTTGAGTTCTCTGTGTACGTGTGTGTGTGTGTGTGTGTGTGTGTGTGTGTGTTGTCTCTGACCTCTAGAAGCTCAGAATGTGTGCTGTGCAGATGTCGGGGCTGAGACAGGTTTAGGAACGGCCGGCTAACCACCAGGTAGCCCACCACAGTGGCCAGGTCTGCAGAGGAACAACATGTGGATGTTAAGGAACAGAGGCCGACATAAGTAACTACTCAGGTTTTTAGATTAATAAGGTTCGCACAAACATTTTACTGCTTGTATTTGCACAAACTCCACAGATCCTCCGTCATACAAACAGACAAGGGTAGTAGCCTCTCACTACTGTTGCTACTGAGTCCCTTTTTATGCTAAAGTCATAGTAGTGCTGGCAATGATTTGTCTTCCTTAAAAAAACATTATGTAAACTTAAAGAAAACTTTAAAATTTTATAAAATTGTATGAAAAAAATCTAATTCAGTAGCTGAAATGCTGTGTTATATAAATATATATTAAATTTTCTTATTTATTTACCGTTTAATAATATATTTATCTTTGTGTTTTGCTTGCTGAGTCAGTATTGTCAGCTAGCATAAGACAGACATCTACTTACACTTGGCAATTATGCTGTCGACAAATCCCATTGAGAAGCGAAAGAAGATGAAGTTATGCAAGTGGTCCACCTGGATGACAAAATAAACATTTTCACAATCTGAAGAAGGAAAAACACAGGAATGAGGACTTTGTTTGTCCCGCATAGAATGATTTTGGGGATGCCTTCCAAGGTTGTCTACTCTCACTAAAAAGTTTCCGAGTGTCTGTTCCTTTCACAGTATAAAGGGTAAAGTGCAGATGATGTTTAGAGGTACTTTTGTAATGTTTCCAGCTGTTTTCAAAGTTTGTAAAAGCACCGAATGTAGCTGTTGGGTGTGTAGCACAGCCTTTTAGTAAATGATTCAAAGGCTAAGGATTTTATCTGTATGAAAACTTTGTTTCTGCTCACTTTCAGTAGTTTACTGCCACACCCTGCTGTGGTGATGTAAATGAGTACATCAAGAAGGTACAATAAAGCACTCCCCTGACTACACCCACCACACAATGCCAACTGTGGTCAAAGGTGACTGGGGGGCTAGTCATTCATCTCTGGTGTAAATGATTCACATGGTCCCTTTGTGGATTCTAAGAACACACATTCGTACCTTGTGGGAAACACGGCTAAACTGATACCCACCAGTTTCCTGAATGTGGCGAGGATAGTCTGTTTTTCCCTCGTGTTTCCATTGTAGAAGGCAATCTCCTCACTGCAGGAAGAATACAATAAATACATGCACTGCAGTAAAACATATGTACAGCAGTTTGAGCAGCTGCTGATGAGTTTACCTGTTGGTAATAAGGCGAGAGTTGACATAGCGGTACTCTCCCTCATAGCGCTGCTCGGTGACTGTCATCTTGCCTATGGGTCTCCTCAGTCTGGTCAGGAACAGCCCTGAGATCAACAGGTAGCTCATCATGATGGTTGGGCCCTAGGTAGCCGAGGGGAGGTGGACACAGTGAAAGCACATCCTGTTTTGCACTCAGGGAAAGACCATAATGACATAAAATACATTTGCTTCCTGATTAAATTCAGGGAACAGCTTATTGAAAAGTGTAAAAAAACAGAAAAACACTTGTATACAAAAAAAAAAAAAGCGATAGTATAGCATATACAGTAATAGAAGAAAATGTAATCTACTTTGAGGGGTCACTCCCATTGTTGCAGTACCAAACAAATTCTCCCCTTGTTCACTACTCATGTTTCAGGGTTCAGTTGTTTTGTTGAGTTTTAAAACAGCAGCTAGAAGAGCAGCTTGCACTCTAACAAAAAGAAGTGGACCTTTATACATCAGTAAAAAACATGTGCCCCATAGCACAGTGTATTAAAAGGGTGAGGCTACAGTTGGAGTATCACGCAAGATCCCAAAACACATCTTCTCCAAAACAAGCTGAAAAATGTGAAGAATGGTCACTGCTTTCACATCTGTATTCACATCTCATGGAAAAGCACCTGGAAGCTCAGATGATGCTCAGATAACAAAACAACCATCTTAACCCCGAGGTTAAAATAATCACAATCATAATAAACAAAGTACAGAAATTAACTTCTTCTGCAAACCAACTGCATTTACGAAAGCACAACACTTACTGTCGAGGGCATATGGAGATAAAATACTATCAAAAATGTTACAAATGCGTGTTTAACGTTTTGTCTGTAACAAGCGATTTGTGTGTGTGTGTCATGAGGATCACAAATGCGTGCTGCGCAATCTGCACGTATAAAGCCATTTGTGTGTGTGTGTCATGCTGTTCACAAATGCATGCTGTACAAACTGCACATAAAACACATTTTACAAATGCTTAAAATCGATTTTTTGTGTGCAGTTCTTTAGAAAGTACGTACACATGGTGACCTACGCATGCGTGGATCGTCTAACATACACGAATCACCTTCTGCGCACACACGGATTTTTGAGAGTGTTTTTCCGCACTCTCAAAAGTCCACGATCCACGAATGTACGGTGCGTTTAAGGACACGTGGAAAACTCGGACATCAGAGTTTCCAAACCTGTTTCCCAAACAAAAGTATTTACACAACGCTATTCCAAATGGACATT